ATCTCCCATCTCCCGGTCTCTTTAAAAAATCATGTATGAATTCTCTCAAATAGGGCTGGGAATCTAATAATTGTTAATCAACAATAGGGAGGTGGTTGTATGGGGAGAGTTGTAGCAACACCAAAATCACCAATTAGAGAGGAGTTATGTGATCACATCAGTAATCACCTACTCCCTCCCCGAGGCATGGTGGTTGTCAAGGCTGGAAACAGGCACATTCAGAAGTGTACAGGCAGCTTGTGAGAAGTGCCGGTGCACAAGAAATGGTCCCATACAAAATGTAAAATGTAGAAGTGCTGGCACTGCGTACCGGTGAGTACTGGCCCACTTCCTGCACTGACTGTGACTCTGATTAAGAATATACACACATTGACACACACAGACACACACCTCCATTTTGTCAGACCTAAGGATGTACAAAGATGTTCTTTAATTAAGTACATTGTAGTAGTATTTATTAAGTATACTAATAAGTAAGATTATTATAGGCTGTTTAATATAGGCTATATAAATTTACATAAACATACATGTACAGTGAGAGAGAAACATTGTTCTTTTATATCACTACCTGTTTTTGAAGCATATCATACAGTGTGGCATCTATTTTTGCTTCTTTTGTCTTATTGTTACAACCTACCTTACTTAACTTTACTTAAAATTTTGAGAACTCTAGCAAAAAAATTCAGCAGTTATAGTTGCTGAAGCAAAACATGTTAGAACCAGAACTGGTATCCTCTACATTACTTTCACAATATTTTGTTTGCAATAAAGATTGATTTCGAAAGTGGTATTTGAATGCCTAATACAACAGCAGTTCTAAAAGAGGTTGATCATGAAGAATCTTTGATACCATAAGTCTCAAACACACCTATAGGGACATGCACAGATATTTTGATTGGCATTGGCTCAGTTACAGTCCTTAGTAGCCATCTGTCTCCTTAACATAAAGATATATTAACTCAGCTAACCACAGAAACAAGGTTAGTATTAAAGTGTTGTTATCAGTACCAAGCTATCTAAACAGTAATCACATACAATGAAAAATTCCTGCTTGCTTCCCACATAGTGTAGGCCTACATGACATCACATCCATATAGGCATGTGTGTTACCCTCTTCCATTCACGGACAATTTCAAACAAAAACAGGAGTTTTTAGTCTGGGTGGATTCACACCAACCTTGTTTAGTCTGGTAGAACCGAACCCTAGAGTGTTTACCACCTCGGTCAGCACCTTTTAATATATTACATATGGATTCTGTTTTCATGATCTTTACTAGTCATTTGCATAGGCCAGTTTATTGTGCATGTTGCTATTGTGGCCCAGTTACTACACTGGTCCACTTTGTATGACAAATACAAATAAGTCATGGTATGATCTATGATGAGACCTACAGATGTACGAGTTCTTCATTGAAATGCCTGCATTATTAAAATATTTAATACCCGTCTTATGAGACAGTCATATGTGACACAAGACGTTCATATGTGTGACGCTCTAAAGTCTGCTGATATGTGCTCCAGACCAACATGAACCTGACAGTATTCAATAGATAGAAGATATCCAGGTAGAAAATTTGGATATATAAATCTACACATAAACACAAACAGGATTTAATTATTTATAATTTAATAATTTAAATTATTTTTTATTCTTTCCAAGGGGACATTTGTCTTGCAGCCAGGTAAAACACCATGCACACACATGAATATAAAATACATCAAACATATCACAAAGGTATGTAAAACCCCAGTACACACTCACATAAAACAATCTGCATCCGCAGATAACCTGGTTTAAATCTGACCATTGTCATCCCAATCATTCATCAGTGGTTAAAACAGATCACCACCCATCAATATCACGTGGAAGATTGATCATCAGCTGACTCATCCTGCGCATTTAATAGTGGAGTCTCAACTGTAATGATTCATGCTGCATCATGTGTAGACAGCTTTATTTAATGTATTATCAAGGTTATGTCCCCACAGGCTTTGACCAAAAGACCAAAAGAATAATGCTGCAAATACAAGTAGCCAAACCAAATACAGTATTAGTTGGTGCTAGATGAGGTGATTCAGGTACCTGGAGGATGTGGCGCTCTCCAAGGTGCTCATGAAGCAGCTGCCAGTTGCACAGGAACTCTCCTGGGAACCTCTATGAACTTACTCCTGGGTCCTTGCCAGTGCTGGGTGTAATGGTAACTGCCAGGAGGAAGTTGCCAGACAATGACTGAAATCATTGAACTGTTAAATCTTCCTATTTATGTGATTACATGAGTTATAAGTCTTCAGTAACTATTCCTGGTGTGCCTTCACCTGATAATGTGTTCTTCACAGGCTAAAGTGTAACAGTTTGGAGTATAATTTTATCCTGTTTGTTGCTTCCTGCACTGCCAAGTGATAGCCAACATCATAATTTTGTAGCCTTGGTGGCTGCTGTATTTTGCCATGTTGTGTGTTTTTTTTTGCCAAGACAATAAAACTAATTTTTTTTGCATCCTCAGTCTCCTGCCTTTCAACTGCACTTGAGTTTGTAATTTACTTTTTTCACACTTTCCTTTGGAGGAGAACGGGGTATGACCAGCTGGGAGGAAATCCCAAGATAAACTAAGATCACACGGGGGTGACTACATCTCTACTGCAGCTGGTGAGGGAGTGGGAATCCTAAAAAAAGGGTTGGAGTAAGTTGCTGGAGAGAGACATGTTTTGGCAACCCAATATCTGAAATAGAAAATACATACATTATCACAAATGGCATGCCCAGCCAGCACTGAAGGCAGCCTATATGCCTGCACATACACATAGATACCCTTACTGCACTGCTTTACTGTCTATTGAGGCAACTTGACAGCTATCTTAGCTGAGAATTTCCCATGAAATAAATTTTTCATTGTATTAAAAATTTTCATTTGGATGAAAGTGTCCCCTGAGTTTCAAAGTTGGATACATTAATTTACTGTGACATGTCCAGGTCAAAAGTCTCACTATAAAAGTAGAGCAGAGAATTCATGAAGGGAGCTGGAAGGATGGCTCAGACTCACATGCTGACAGCAGTGAGTCTAAGCCATCCTACATTTGTACCTTAGATTACGTGAAAACATAGTATTCAACTAGCATATTTTTAGTATTTGCAAGGATACCATACACATGACCACATAGCCTACACGCCAATTATCTGAAAGACGCACCGGAGTCTAAATTTGGTTTAGGAATTGTGTGTTTACTGGTTTACTTTGTAAGTGCTGAAGACCAGTGGTTTCTGAATTTGTGACTAAAAAGTTTACAATGCCAAAAATGTTCTTGGCTCAGAGATACAAAACTGCTCCTGTTGCTCCTTTTGCACCTTCAACCATCTTGGAGATACATAAAGTCTTTAAAAAACATTTTTACAAAAATGACTGGCATTCCAAAAAGCAATGCAATATGACCTCATTAAGGGTGGGGTTAGCTATTCAAATTCAATACATGTCTTCCCTTCCACCCAACACTATTCTGGTGTGCTGGCTATGGGATCATCTTATCCTCTCTGCATTTTGGCATCACAGCAGGAACTGTAACGGCAGTTCACTAACCCACAATTTAGCTAATGTTAGTTAACTACTTGCTGTATTGTTGTTTGCTCCCTGTCATGGTATTTTTCATGGTGTTACTCCCCAACCCCCCAAACTTACACCTGTGGATTGTCACCCTTTCAAACAAGTCATTGTCACTTTAAAGTAGGCTTACCTTTTAAAATGTGGTATCCCATACCAATAGGAATCCTTTGCACATTGATGGGAGTCATGTTAATCCACTGTTGATCTACCCTAAGATCAAGCTGTTCCAAAATCAATAAAGCCATGAAAGCTTGCCTTCTGGTCCTCATCACATCCTTTACATCCTCTAGTTAATGCAGTTAGATACCGTGCTACTGGTGTTTCACTTTGCTGTCAGATGAATGCAATTCAGTAAAATCCCTGTCACTGGGCCATAACCAATATAGAGCAAGTAAACGATTATTAAGATTAAGTGTTTCGAAAAAGAAAAATAGAAGGCAAATACACCACATTTTACATTTCAAAAATATTCAAATGTGTTATTAAAAACACTCAAATATTATAAACAACTAAAATATACTTATAAGGATTTACAACAGTGATTAGTAGGCCTAGTGTCTAATTACCTTATTAAATCACTAATACTCCCAAATATTCACTCTAAAAAATAAAACATTGGATCAACAAAAAAAAAATATGTTAACGTTTTCCACTAGAATTTTTTATTTAAGACTGCTGGCAGAATTACATTAATTCAAATCAATGTTTTGAGTATGGTGAATTACCTTTTAGTCCACAATAAAACGCATTTCTAAGTAACATGAACTTAATAATTGTCAACATGAATGCAAGTATTTAAGTTGATCCAACATAATGTTTTAAGTTAGGTGAAGAAGCTTTTTGGCCACAATAAAACAGATTTCTAAGTACCATGAACTTAATTAATTAAGTTGATCTCTGCAAGTGGCTAACTGGCTCACATAGCTACTTGTAGTTTATAAACTTAGCTAGCCTACATGCTAACCGGAGCGGTGGCTAATGGGTAATCCCATATTAGCTTGTTAGCCTCATATTAGCATGTTAGCTTGCCAAGACGTTTTCCCTGGCTACCTAGCCACCTAATACTCCCGCATTTAAGCCTACTCAATCAGTGACAGGCTACAGCTACTAGCTAACTTTACCTCGGCACACAGACTGTACTATCAACACTGCTCAAATTTCAGAGTAAGGACTTCCAGATTTCGGTATTCGGTTACAGTACACTGTAAACCCGAATAAATAAGGAAAATTAAGGCAATCAGTTAAAGTCAAAAAAACAACATTTGAAAGAAAGAAAAACATCTAATTAAAAAGAAAAAACATACAAAAACAAATTAGCAATTGCAAAGACACACTTTGGGCCATCTTTTAACCTGCTATAAACCCGAATGCTCAGTAATTCTCAAAAATACAAGTACAACTCCATTATTACAAGTCAAGTTTTCTTTATTGAACAATCATTATCAAAACTTGTAACATCTCCTGCCATTTCTATATTTCACAGAAAAAAAACGTTTATGTACATGAGTACATTCAAACTTCTTTCAACAAGTACTTTTAGGTACAGCTTCAGTGGTTTGCTATCATCAAGACATTATTATTTTCTGATAAAAAGGTTAATGTGAAAATTAGTTTATTTGGATAGTCACTCACTCAACAGAAACGCTCTCAGGGTTGAAGTGGACCGCAGCAGGAGCGTCGTCAGTGACCACAGTGAGGACAGCCACAGGCGTGTCAGCAATATCTGGTTCATCTTTGCACTGCAAAATACAAATAATCCAATTATGAGGATAATTTTAAAAGACAGGTTGCAAGTCATGCACTGCTTCATCGGTGCCCCCCACAAACTGAAAGCACCAATAACTCTTTTATTGTACAAATCACATTTTAGCATTTTATTGAGATAGACTAAAAGGAAAAAATATCTATGAATTAGGGTTCGAGGTGATGACTGACAGACATCACGATGTTGTGCCGGCATCGTGATTGTAATCTTAGTCTTAATTTTTCACATTATACTACCCTGTGAAAGCAGTTTTTAACCCCCACAAATATATTATAATTTTTTAATATGCATGCTTTGCACCTACCTTGGACTTCTCCTCTCCCCACATTCACACACACCTACACCTCTGGTCTCTCACTGCAAACACACTGGCTTGTCCCGCCTCTCTCTGTCTCTCTCCCCCCGTCTACTCCACTTTCTCCATCAGCAGTATGTTTGATAAAGTTGCCTAAATGACACAGAACTTGTCTTTTTTCCGTATTTTTACACCCACGATCTGTTCTCACCGCAGCAGGTGAGCTGCGTGCCAGCTTGTTAATGACATAACCTTTCAAAATAACTGAAACCAACATCTGCACCCTGTGTGTTGACTGCTGCTTTACCTGGTCTTACCTAAAATTACTTAAAATACCTAAAATATCCACGGCGATTTGTATTGTAATAGGCTACCAAGTTTTTTACGGAGTGAAGTCTGTCAAATGCTGGAAGAGGCATTAAAGTTGGTTTGCCATAGTACATTTCATTGATATTGACATTGTGTGTGAGTATACTGAGGACTTACATTGCAGGTCTTGAAGAAATCAGTTATCCTCTTGCAGGTCCACTGGGAGGGCAGAATGCGTCTCACGTGTACATCATGTTGTTCCTAGATTGATAATCAAAATAATTATCATTATACAAATGTTTTTTCAGTACATTAAGGCATATAGTGTAACAGTTATACCAATGTAATTCTAAAAGAATAATAATACTATTATTAGCAACAACAGCAATAACAATAATAAATCAATCCAGCTGCAACTACCTATAAGACAAGACTTACAACATGACAAAAGATATTTGGAAGCCAGTGCAGTAAGGCTGGACCCCAGTATTCTAGTTCTAGTAGGTTTTTGGTTTTAGATTTGGTGATTTTGATATTCGCACAAGCACCCACACTTCAACCCTCAACCCTCAACCCTGCACACACACAACAGCTCACACCACCTCTTTCTGATTTTTTCTTGCTGTATCATACAGGGACTAAGACTTACGCATGGTTTGTCAGTAGTAAGTTTTATAGCCAAGAAAACACTGCCTGCGTTTGGAACCTCTTTAGCCCAGATTCCATGTTAACAACTTTTGGATGGATCTGCGTGTGGAGGAGGCCTACACTACATCTCTTTCTGTCTATTCCTCTGCACCTGTCTGTAGACCCTACAGGGATCAATCATCGATGGCATTGGTCTCTTGGACAAGTAAAAAATAAAGTGAGGATTCTCTGTTTTGTATTATGTGTTCAGTGCAGCCTAAGAATAGCCATTTAAAATAGGCTTGTAATAACTTTTAAAGTGATCATGTACTGGAAAATAAAGCAAAAAAAAAATGACACAACTGTGAAACATTGAAAGTAGATGTCATCATAATCATCACAAATTCAGAATAACTGTATTGCAGAGACATCCTAATCTGTAATGACGTGACATTATGTGATCTACATTGTGGCTATGGCAAAATTAATCTTACACTCACCTGGAGGTCATAAATCCTAGGATCTCCGCAGAGCCTCTGCTGTCTTGCCCATCTGTGAGGCCCTCCACCTGCACAGGACAATCAGCTCTGGTGTCAAGCTCAATTGAATTGGCTCTTTAGGTTCAACATTAGTCATGATGACAATGGAACTCAGCAAACACCTGCAGACATTCAAACACAAACACATAAATGTATGTATATTAATGTTGTTACCACTAAGGGAATTTTTGTTGAATAAGGAAGCATCCTGGTAAGTTCAAATGATACTGGTATGTTCCTTTAAATACCTTAACTCAAGTCTTTCAAATCTATGCAGTATAAAATGCATCTAGTCTACATAATCTTGAATAATTGAAACGAAACTCTTATGCAGAGATGTGCAAATTGAAAACATACCTTGGATAGCTGTAGTGTCACTCAATACTTAATCCTGCAGGAGCAGATAAAACAGGAAGAATTCCCATTAGTCCAGTTAACAAGAACATCATCAATTTCTGATTTTTTAAAATAATATATTTTATTATTATTTTATCATTTCACTTACTCACCAATACAAGAGCTGCTTTCGCAAGTCAGGTGATTATGGACATGATGAAATCCCTTCAGCAGCACTCTCTATAGTCCTTAATGGGCACACAATATATGAACACCAACTTTTTATTAGTTTACAAAATAATGGCCATGTAAACACTTCTCACAAACATGTGATACTGGAATAGTTTAATGTTGTGAGAAATGTATTTAGTCTGTAAGAGTAAGTTACCAGTTCAACAGTTACATCTAGCTAAAAAGTAATGCAGTAATACAACATTCTTGCCATAAATCCTCCATAACAATGATAATGTTCAGTTTTGGATGAAACTGTTTCGGGGGAGTTGTTGATTCGACTGTATAATCATTTTGGAAACTGCAGTTGTGCTGCTGGTAATTTGTAAAGTTATCACATGGACAGGTGCTTCTGTTACTTTGAACATCCCATTAATATCTGAGACGATGCTAAATAACACACTCTTTTGTGTAATAATGTCAACGTAATGTTACCACAAACATCTTCCAAAATGAACAAATGATAAAATAGTTTCAATGAAAACTGAGCATTCTTCACCAGTTAAAAGGTTTCATTACCACAGTGGAAAAATACCTCCTTTACAAATACATATTAACGTTACAGCTACTTCAGACGAGGCAACTAGTCTCTGCAACAGAAGGGCTGAGGAGAATCATTAGGTTTACAGCTAATAAAATTAAACTTTTAGCCATGCATCAACACTATTTCTGGAACAGCTTATAAACAAACGCAGAGGTTGACTGTCTCCACAATATAACGTTAACTAACGTGAGTTAACTGACAGTAACAGCAGTTCACAACAGTGCAAAGTTAACCTTAAGTTACCTCAATGTGAGCTAGCTTACTTCTAGCGTTAGCCTTTGTTGCGTTTTTTCAGATTTTGAGAAAGGAGAGGCTGGATCCGATGAAAATTAACAAGAAAATTTAATAAAAAATAGGTGAATAAAAGATGGCATTACAGAACAAACATGAAACAAAAACACTGCAGTGGACTGGAAAGTTGTTCCTCTTTTCAGATTTACAGCTTACAGTCCTGATTCTCACAAAATGAATTGTTAATATCCTCCAGGTATGTGGGCGGGTCTTTTCCTCCAAATGGCTCAGGACCATAGCCATTGGTCGTTTGGTTACTTATTCGTCACCCAATTAGGAAGGGTGTACCTTACTGCTCTATGTTACTTTTGGTCCAACAAAAGAGCGCCGATTCCCAGACGTGAAACCCCCTTCAATCTACAGGAATAAACAGTCTTTTGCTGTAAACTAATCATGGAGAACAACAGGGCTTGTCTACAAAATGGTTGACACCCTATCTTAGGTGTCAATGAAACAGTCAAAACAAAACTGTCCTTCTGGCACTAAACAAAGCGGTGTCAGTTTTCTTCACATTACAAAGAGGATACAAACAATGGTTTAATCAACATTCTGATGCAACCGTTTGGCCTAAAACCAGCAGGTTTACATTTGAAGAAAAACACTGAAACACTGGAGTACATTAAGTTTGTTGTAACTTTTTAGAACTCAACACCTTTCTGTAAACGTAACTGCGCCTGACAGCAGAGCCGAAATGTGATAAACTTTTTTACTCACCGGGCCAAAGTGCATTCTCTGCCGAATGTCAGGCGAAGGCTTCAGTCACAACGTCATGTTACTTAGGAGCTAATGTCCGTTAACGTTAGCATAAAAGTAACGCGCCAAACTGCTTCTAACGTTACATCCTGAAGCGGTCATTCCAGAGCAAACACGGTGGTAAAATAGAAGTTAAAGAACACAAAAACGTTTCTTTCACAGCGCTGCAAATAAACACTGGTTCTCTCGACTTTTGTTAAAAAGGTTATTAACAGTTTTGCTCCGTTACTTTCAAATTGTCTCCCTCGCATCGGGTAGCCATCTTGAATTGCACATAAAGGAGAGGGAAACTGTGGGCCGTTTACACTTCATCAAATTGTATTTTACATTAACAGAACTTAAAATTTTTTGATTAACTGAAAATGTTAAACTCTGAGAAGTCATGATAGTATATTGGATCAATAGGCATAATTTGTGTGTCATCCAAGCTCAATAAAATAACAACTAAAAGTAAAAAGTCTAACAGTATCTCAGAACTTGATTTTTTATTTCGCAACAATATATATATTTAAGTAATGACTAAAGGTCTCCTGAATTAGTTTTTAGAGTGTGCGTTCTTTCTTATTTATTTATTTCTGCTGCATCTCTGTTGATAGGTGTCGACCTGCAGCCCCCATTAAAATGGATGAGGCTGGAATCCACTCCATATTTTGTGTCCCGCTTTGCCTTGCCAGTATATCTGATCTGAGCACGGAGCGCTTCTCTCCACACAGCATTTCCACTTCAATGCAGCGACCAGCGGTTTCGCCTGCTGAGCGAAGTTGAGTGAACACGCCGGGAGACGCGCTGCCTGGATTCATGTGGCACCTCCATACTCGCGGTCCTCTTTTCTGCGGCGCCGGGGGACTTTTAATCATTGTCGGTTGCGATAGAAACCCGTTCTGCTTTGGGGAATGCATTTGTAGACACTAATAGTTGAGTTGCAACCATTAAACGCCCAGCTATTAAGTACCTGCGGATCCACTGCAGGGTTTGTTTTTTTTTTACCAGCAAGCGGGATACCGCAAGGATCTTTACAGAAGTGAACAATGCTTACACTAGAGACTATCATTTGCACTTTTTCTGTGCTGTCTGTTGCAGCAAGAGCAGATTTTAAGACACGGAATTGCAGCGAGGTGAGGGAGGCATGTGTCGGGAAAGGCTTCAGCTTCGCACACGTTCCTCTTCAGGAGATCCCAGGTAAGGTTGGGCTGATTGAGACTCGTCAATTAGGGTCACGACTTGCCAAACAGAACATTATAAATAGCCTCGGGAATAAACACGGCCTATATTTAATGTTAAGCTCTGGATGGAAAAGTTTTAAATATCCCCATCGCATTGATGCAAAGTCACTCCTTTTACTGTCGGCGTTTTAACGCGGGTTGTGCTGCAGGGGTATCCTGTGACTGCATCAGACTAATCGGTCAAACAGCACCTCAACCACCTGTCACTCACCAAGTTGCTGCAAGTGTAACTGGCGCAAAGTTTTATCCCGCACACAGAGGATAGCCAGCTAAACTACCAAAATAGTCCTAATTGATCTGACTGGATGAGCAGCCTCCTGCATCCCACAGCAGAAGTCAGTTAAGTGGCATGCCTGCTTTAAACAGGAAACCCCCTCATTTAAAACGCCTGAACACGCACCCGTCGGTTTATGTGAGCTGGTTTACTGATTTCATGCTGCGATAACATCCAGATCAGCCAGCATCCATAGGCTACTGAATGTGATAATAAAGACCGCCCATGCAGCTGTGGTCAGATCTGTCTGCGTGTAGGCTATCCAGCATAGGTCTCCCACTGCGCTAACCAAGCAGAGATAATGAAAAGTAAAGTCTACAGATTAACTCCTGTCCTGAGAAAATTAAGTGATAAGGTGTAGTAGAGCTGCTGACTCTTGCAGTGCTTCAGTAGCAGTCCATAAGCATGAGTCACTAATTCTACATGTCAAGCCATTATCCTTTTCAGCAGTTATTTCAAATAGCCTACCTTTTGGCCTGTTTGCATTTGGGTTCCTGTGATACTAAAGCCTATCAGTTTTTAAATACAAATATATGCTGTAAGTGGATATAAATAATACATTCCAGAACATCAAAAAACCAATGTTTTACTGCTATCATGTAAGTAGTACAGAATTTTTATTAAATGAAATTGATTTGTCACTTGCATCGGATAGTGTGATATGTGTGTGTATATGTGTGTGTGTGTGTGTGTATGTATATATATATATATATATATATATATGATTACCCCAGATGAGTTGTCTTTCCAGGTCGCCATTGTTATACTTCAGGGCCAATGACTCTCGCCATAAAGCAGGAAATCTGGCACAAGTAAAAGGCTGCATATTTGATAACAGGCACACCTGTTCAGAGACGAGTTGAATAACTAACTGATTAAATCCTTTGGATCTGTGTCCCTGACATCACAACTAATCTCCCAAATGAGGGAAAAATTCAGTCTCTCATCTCCAAATGATGTCACCCCGAATAAACATCTTTTGATCTGGTCTTTGAATGAGTCATAACCTTCCATGTCAGCTGGTGAGACAGCGCATTATCAACACCTCAGCAAATTCACACAGTGATAGGCTTAACATCTTCTGTTCCCCCCAAAAAAGTACCCACTGAAAATTGTTTCAAGTAGCCGATCTAAAGCAGAAATACATCTTTACAGTTTAAACTTTGGAGATTAATATAATTTTTAGCTGTGTTTAAATGTCATCTTGACTTTGGTGTACTGTTTCCACTGAAAATAGAGTAGTTGTGTTGGTTAGTAGTTAACTTTTTGGATACATTTAAATTATCATTGAAGTATGCGGTTTCTCTGGTCAAAATTCACATGTGTAAAAAATCAAAGTATAATTACTGTGTAGTTAATCTATGAAGGACAAACAGATGTTTTTGGGATTTGTATATTTTACTGATTATTACACAACATGAACACTGCACACACACATTTGTGTAGCCTTTAATATTAATTATTTCCAAGTTCATAGTGCCCATTTGGCAGACGGGGAGCATATTCAATGATGACATTACTTTGTAGTAAGAGATTCCAATAGTTTTTAGTTGGTCTTTGTGGGAATCTGTGTAGAGTGGCTCTTAAAGCGTTCTGTATAGCTTATTGTTTCTGTCAGCTTTACAGCTGCCATCGCACTCAATTATCTCACTGATGATATGAAAACGTCAACCTTCATGTTTCTTGTCCACCTCTGCAAATAATGCTTTCACTGCCTCTACATACTGTACATTTAAATTACTGCTCTTGGCCTTTCGATTTCTTGAAATCTCTGTCACTGCGAACATCAAATTGTAGTGACAGCACTTTTGATGTATGATGCCATTAGAGACCATGTTAGACATCAAATTAGACATAAAATACTAGATTTCTCTTATCAAGTTAGTCAACCTTTTTTTTTTACATTATCAGTTTAAAGTTAATCCCATTAGACTATACTGTTAAATTCTTAAACACATGTTAATGAATAATCTTTGTTTTCATTAAGAGCTATTTGCCTTGTTCAGATTGTATTCTTATTCAAATTAGTTGTTGACATTCAATATGAAGCCCTCATTACAACCATCACAAGTATAATGGCGAAATAAGGGCAGTGTGTTATTGCAGGAGTATTCTGCTCACCTCCACTTGTTGGAATGCCCAACCACTGCTACAGTATTTTTTTTTTTTTCATGGAGCTAATAATGAAAAGCCTAGAATCACATATTTTTGCTGTTGTGTCTGGTCAAAGTGAAGAAACCAGGTCAGGTGGAATGACAGCTGTGGAGTCAGTTTTATTGACAGAATTGTTGTTATGATCCAAAGCCTAAAAGCTCAGTTTGTACAGTAATTCCACAAGACTTAGGCAACGCTTCTGCCTGCTAACCAGGCCAGGCTGAAGGCAGTCAACAGCTATTTGGTGAAGGCATTTTAAAACACGGGAGCACAAACTTGTGGATTGGTCTAAAAGTTTTTGAGTGTTCACACTTTTAAAAACACCCAGAGCATTGTCTATTTAATTCAACTGTTAACAAATTCATAAAACTTCAGCCTCTTGGATTCACTTCTTCATTGCTCTGGTTAAGGATTAGTCCTGCACTCAGTTTTTCCCCTGCTGTCTTAGTTTCCTCTCAGTGAGTTACCCAACATCTGAGCAACATGGCAAGAAATGGAAAGTGAGTCATACAGCAGACTGCTGGATTCAATGGAACTTCTTTGCATGTCATATGTGCTATCATTTGACGTCCAGCTCTGTTTACTCCCAGCCAGGAGATGGAGATGGGACAGAAATAACGGTGCTGATATTTTATGTGATACTTGGCTGCCTGCACAACGAGGCAAATGATCTCTGCTGAAGCGTGTAATGTGCACAGGTTCTCTACTGTCATGTAATGAGATGGAGAGGATTAAAAAGGGCTAAATGGGAGTGCCTGCAAAGAGAACGGCCAGGTGACATTGTTAGCCCCCCACAGCATACGGCAGTATTGCTGTGATGTATTGTCAGATTATTGTGACCTTCCTGTCAGTCACACATGTGGAGATAGATCTGGGAGTAAAGTCCTGAGAGCTCTTGCTGAGTTTATGGTGTGTTTATGCTTTCACATTTCACTATGCAAAACATCAAACTATTTGTGATGAAATTGCAGATAATTGGACATTTGGGATTGGCAGTTAGTGTTTGAGTTTGGACACGGTGGCACCAGTATTTAAGGCTGCATTCCGCATTCACATTGCATACGTAATGCATTGTGAATGCGTCCTACTGAGAAGCAGAGGGGGGCGCTCTCAGGGGAGAAGAATCCAAACAATCATAATTTTCCCGCGGCAGAGGGGATTTCTCAAACACTGCCTCCATCTCAGCGTCATCAATCATGCTCATGAATGCCAAAATGGCCTCATGGTGGGCTCTCTCTGCAGGTGTTCCCTCACTGAGAGATGTAGGAAGCATTGTGTCTCGCAAGTTTTTTAGGGTTTCAGCAGAACAACAGAACACTCAAAGCAAATCAAAAAGCGTGAGGATAGGAATGTTTGATAGAGTCTATGAAGGACAAATTATAATGTGTATATATAAATCTGATCAAACCACACCCAGAAGGTCCTTATGAAGCATATTAATATTAACACATTATTTGAGTGCTAAATTCTAAATAATTGGGATTGTTTGCTTCCTTAACTTTAACGTACAGTATGCAGTCATGAATATAAATAATTGATAACTGGGAATTTCTGATTACTTAACTTTAACTTACAGTATGTAGTCATGAATATTTAATGTTACTGTAAAATCTGAAACCAAGTTATCAGGGGCTCTAAACCATATCACTATGAAGCTAATGTGCAGTTTTGTTGACCTTATGTCAGAGATGTGTCACATTGAGGCTGCATTGTACTCGACTTTTGTTGGTTGTTAAATGTTGGCTTTAATTCTGGCAATGTTCACAGTATTATATTATATTCATGTCTGTCACTGTCAGTTGTCCAACTTCCTGTTGCTCATACCCTGGGTTGCTGGAATGTTAATACAGTCTACACATTTTAAGTTATTAACAATACTCTTTGTTTTGCTAATTTATAGTGCATATGATATTTAAAATATTTTCAGTGGAATCTCATTAGTTTTAATATAGTAACAAATTTGTGTTTTTTTAGTATCATTCCTGAAAATTTAAGAATGGAAACAAAAACGCATGAACGAGATGCTGGGTTATTGAAGCTTGACCAAGTACTTTAAGCCTGACATGCGTTGCCTTGTTTATACTGCCGATCAGCAGCCATTGTCATATAGGTTACTGAAGGAATGATGCTGTGAACACAGCCATGAAGAATTAATGTTTGACAAACTCATTTGAGATAAATCGACTGTGGAAAACAAGGAAATGGATTGAAGTGGTTCTCCTGAGACTGCATGGCAATAGCTGTTTAATGGTTTAAGAATCATTTGAAATGTGAAAGAATGAGTGCTCCTGCTGTCAACAAGAGACTGAATAGATGTTGTTTTGATCCATTAGTTCCCGTCAACAGCTGTCCAATTAAATTATAACCTGGAGCCACTGAGAAAGAGCTTTTTAATTCTTCATTTAAGAAGCTGGCATAAACACATTTCCACTAGTCACTGATCCTATTTTTTTCCTTTCGTGCTTTAAAAAAAAAGCAAACAAAAAATATCTTTGACCAGTATACAATAGATGGTGAAACAGGAGTGG